ACGGCTCACCACTCGAGTATCCCTCCAGTTTGATCGGTTCAACGGAAACCACGCCTATACCGGAGCGTCGGCCACCAGATCTGAGCACTTTGCGAAATGCGGAACGCAATCGACGTTCGATGACACGAGACGATGACAAATTCTTATCGTTCGATAGTGATGATGGTAAGTGTGGATATTTTGTGAGTGTATCTAACTTTTGATCAGCTGATTCTTTCTTTTGCTTACAGAAAACAGTTATTACTCGATAAGTTCTACAGGCAGCAGTCGCTATGTTGTGGAGATTTGAAATTTTGTTACAGAATTGGAGCATACAATTGGATTATAGTGTATGTACTTAATTTCATTTGTGTAGGAAAATGTCTTTTAAAAAGTGATGTATTTATCTAACAGTTGTATAGTTAAATGTATATTAATTAAAAATAACAAATATAATTTGACGAAAAAGTGAGGCTTCTAGACTTGAAGTAAATATTTTAGAGGCTTAATTTAATTTGATTGTGAAAAAAAGAAATAAAACGAAAATAACGATTTCCTGAAAGGAAAATACGATTTTTAGTACATATATTTTTTTTTTTGAGTTTTTGATAAGATGAGATTTTGGAACAAGAAATTTCTATCAGGAGAAAAATAGGTAAGTTTTGAGCATAAAAAATAATCGAGAGTCCAACCTAGCTATATTATTTTTGTGGCAACTCGCGGACTACGCCTGGACAGTCGACTCAGCGAGAGCTGGGTGAAAACCATCACCTGCAAAGTTGCAAAGCCTATATGAGCGGTGGTCGACCACGGCCGATCTAAAGAGCTTCTGTAGTCGACTAAGCGCCAACTCTTGGTTGTGACGGATGTCCTGTTCGGGCACTGTCGTTTAAGATGACTCAATATCAAACCAATATTACCGGAGTTGCTTGAAGAACGACAAGCTGGAATCATCTCGGCATTTCCTTTTTAGCTACCCTGCATTCGCTAAACTAAACGTTTAGGCTCATATTTCTCTAATACTCTGGCGTAACATCAGCTGTCAGCGGATGTTTATTTTGAGCACACAGCGCTTTTTCTAACAAAGTATTTCATATGGATTACCTGGAGTTACCGTTTCAGAAAAAATCTCTTAAGACAATGGGCAACATAAGTGAGCCTCTCGCAGGTTGCCACCTCACCCGAGTGAACTCATTACAGTGAAAAGGATCACATGGTATCAAAATGGGACTATTCCTGCCCATGTGGTAAGTGGTTACTACGCTGTAGTAATCAATCAAAATAAATACCTGCCGGGTAAGAGCTAGCAATATGGTAAGAGGCAGAATGAAAATAGCGAACTCTGGCGCAGAAAATATGAAAACGAATCGTTAATAGTTTTATTGTTTATAGCATAAATTTATGTGCAGCTACCTAGCTTCCATAGCTGGAACAAAAGTAATATTAATTCCAGGGAAACCGATGTTAGAAGCTTAGTACGCGCACAGCTGTCGATAATCGCTAGATAATCCATTTACAACACAATTAACGTTGATTAAACATTTATTCAAACACCGAAGGCTATTTAGGCAGCAGGCAGCGAAGCCAGGAAAGCATACATGCAGCAAATGTATGCGGCTCGGAAATGGACACTGGTGGTTTACCCTTGTGGAAGCATTAAATAAACCACAAATTAAATTTACACCATAAAATTTGGGAAAAAATAAAATATTTGGCATAGCCAAGCAGCAAAAGCAATTGATGAAGCACGTGTGAACGAGTGGGGAGGAAATAGAGTAGAACGAAGCTGCTGTTCGTTCTCCTGATTGGCAGACCAGCAGGAGTTACAACAAAGCGATAATAATTGAACAAAAAAATGCGTAATAAGTGTGAAGACCGATGTGCTGCATATCCCGAAGCAAAGAGATGAAAGGGCAGATAGTTTCGTTACACAATGCAAGCAGGCTTTTGACTGCAACAGAGTCTCAGTAGGAGGGCGTACTCACCACGCATTTAAAAATTAATTTTTACCCTTGCAATTTAAGCGATCGCAACTTTTTTATACCTTTCATGAGCATGAAATGGTATTATAACTTTGGTCCGATGTTTGTAAGTACCAGAACAAAAAGAGATAGACCCATTAAAATGTATACTTATATGATCAGAACGTCGAGCTGAGTTGATTTAGCCATGTCCGTCTGTCCGTCTGTCTGTCTGTTTGTATGCAATCTAGTCTCTCAGTTTTCGAGATATCCGTATCAAATTTGGTAGGTGGGTGTATTTTTATAATGTATTAATCATTTGTCGGAACCGACAGAATCGGACCACTATAACATATAGCTCCCATACAACAGATTGTTCAGATATGAGATTTTTCGTTATAACTTCTCCATTTATGCAGCTACGAACATGAAATTCCGCACTATTTTCAATAAATATCAACAGAAAACTTACAGTGAAAATTAAAAAGATCGGGTAACTAT